TCAGTACTTACTAGCCAGGATGGGTTGGAATGGTGTCCTCAGCCTCTGTTTGTCAGAGGCTGGAAATGGATAACAGGAGAAGGATCATTTGATGATACCCCTTTGGGGTATTTGGCATTGGTCACTGTCGGCAGACAGGATACTGGGTGAGATGGACCATTGGTCTGACCCAGTCTGGCCGTTCTTATGTTCTTATGAGAGGCTGTGACAGTGGGTTGCAGTTTATTTGAGGGGGTTGTATCTATTTTTCACTTTAATTTCCTCAGATTCTTCCCGGGTTTAGGTGAACCTCAGAGCTGTTAAATGGTGTATGCATTGAGTTCTTAATCTGTTCAGCTTTGTCTTGTTTCTTGGAGGCCGGGGTGAGGTGTGGGGGAGAATCTACTGGGATTGTAGCTGGAATTATGTTCCCAGGTTGGTTTTGCCTCAGAGATGTTTATCCGCAGACTCTGGATGACACAGTGAAGCATGCGACTAGCACTGTGACCACACAACCTCTCTGTCGACCCATCGACATTGAATTAAGCTCTGCACCTCTCACAGAGGTGGAGCACAGAACTCAGCATTACTGGTGACTTTGGGTGGCCAAAGGGAGCTGGTAGTGTAGACGCGTATGTCAACATAGGTGCCTAGTGCCTGCAGGGGAGGAGGTACAGGGAGGGTCACCCAGAAAACAGGGAGGTAGCATGAGGGAGCACCTCATTTAGCAATTAAAATGTTGGTAGAGGCATAGAGGGGCGGTGCACCCCCTGAGCACTACCACGAGTCACCTAGGGATGGAAGCGACTAGTCGACTACCCAATAAGCAAATGCTAATTGGATAGTTGAATAGTAACTCGACTAGTCACTTCCCCTCCCCTCTTGCTACCTCTGCCAGAGAGAGAGCAGCAAATGGCGGGGGGGGAGCAAGAGCTGATGCTGGGGGGAGCTGGCTTAAAAGCCGGTTCTCCCCAGCACCGGCTCTGCGGGGGGGACAGGGGAGGAAGAGGCACAGCGGGGAAACAGCGCAAGCGAGGACTGAAGCTCGCTCCAGGCTCCAACGGCTTCACTTCTGTCTCAGACATGTAGCAAGAGCCCCACAGAGGCGCAGCGGGAAACACAAGGCAAAGGCATGTCAAAGGCAGAAGTGCAGCAATGAGAACGGGGGCAAGCAGGGACAGCTTGAATCCCTTCTTGCCTCTGTTTCCTGCTGCTCTTCTGCCTTTGAAATGCAGTAAGAACCGCAAGCCTCTCTTACTACATTTAAAAGACAGAGGCGCAGCCAGGATAGCGAGCACTACACCTCCCCCTTATCGATTAATCTATTAGCTTATGGAAATTCCATTGACTACTCGATTCGCTGATTAATCAAAATTTAGCATCCCTAGAGTCACTTATGTCCGCTAACTTTGTAGTGTAGACCAGGCCTAAGAGGCAGAGAATGGCCTTAATGAAGAAGACGGAGGACTAACCAATGAGAGATGCTGAGGAGTTATTCCCCAAGGCTGTGTCTAGACTACAGGGTTTTGTCGATAAAAGTGGACTTTTGTCGACAAAACTCTACTTGCGTCTACACTGCTTCTCAGTTCTGTCGACATAATGTCGACAGAACTCAGCAGTTTTGTCGACGGCTGTAAATCTCATTCTACGAGGAATAACGCCTTTTGTCGACAGAGTTCTGTCGACAGAATGTGTTATTGCATCTACGCTTCCTTTGCGTCTACACTGTCATGTCGACAAAGCAAGAACTGGATGTAGTCTAGACACTCTTAGGCGACAGAAGCCTGTAGTCTAGATGTACCCCAAGATGGTCCCCCAGCAGCGCTGCAGGAGTGACCAGAGATGGGAGTTTTCTGGCAGGAATAGCTGTGCCGTTGGACCTCAGAATGTCTAGACAAAAACATGAGCATTTTTTCAGCCTTCGATTTTGCTTCACTGCCCCTGCAGACTGGGGGAAAGTGCAGAGGAAAAATAGACAGGCGTTTGCAGTGATTGCCTGAAGCATTTACTGTTCCCAGTCTTTCTGAATGTAAGTCTGTGAAAAGCCATTAAGAGCTTTTCTATCCCCACAGCAAAGCTGTTTCACTGTACGAATGCGAGTTACAGGGCATTTCTACCTCAGCGGCAAGCTGTACTTGCCGGAGCTTTTACCGGCGTGCAGTGTCCGTGTCTACCTCACGTAAAGAGAGGGCACTGGTCAAGCTTCTGTTGCTGTGACCCACTGGCTCGTCTCACACAAAGGGCACATTTCCATTGTGTGAATTTGTGGCAGGAGATGGCAACCACAGTTTGGGTGGGGACAGGCATTTGCTGGGCAGCACAACTGAGGAAAGAGGAAAGGAAATTTGGGCTGGGCCTGTGCTCTCTAAAAATGGTCAGTCTTAGGGGCTTTAGCAGATAGCCCAGCCAGCCACAGCTGCCATTGTGGCACCTGAACAGAAAGCATGGCCTGACAGAGGGAAGCGGGGACCTCAGACTCAAAAGGCTTCTAGCGCGTCTCTGCCCACAGTGGCAGGGTTCTTGGGCCACCTGGAACCGAAGGTAGCACAGGAGGACGGCATCAGCATCATACACTCATTTAAAAATATTTAGTTATTCAAAAAATAATACAACAAACGTACATGCTGAGGTTCCCTCCCTAGGATGATTCTCCTCTGTCCCGGTCTCAGCTGTGCTGCCTGGAGTTGATTGATGCCGGACAGAAATGGAGCTAGACTTCTGCCTGGCTGGCGTCAGGGTACTAAGTTCCAAAGAGACCCTGGCTTTCCAGGGAGATCGCCTTCAGTGCAGTGGGCAGGAAGTACTGTTGTGCATCTGGGTTGGGTGGTCACCCTAATCACGAGAGTCGTAGAGTCCTAGAACAGGGGTGGCCAACCCATTAAACGAAGAGATCCGAAACAGCAGCAGAAAAAATGCGAAGAGCTGCACCAGAATTATTGAGAAAAAAAAATAAGGAAGAGCTCCACACCAGCCAGAGTTGTTGGGGGGGAAAAAAAGGGATGCTGCTTCTTTAAAAACCGCTGGTTAGGCATTTTGGCCACATCAGGCTCCTGCCGGCTGACGCTATCTTGCCGGCGCATTTTGCCGTGCCGGACGGCTCCCCTGCACCCGGTGAGCACAGGGAGCTGGGGGCTGTTTGTAGGGGAGCATGGGGCGTTTTCACGAGCTGTGGGGGAGGCTTCGCGAGCCGTACTTTCAGGGGTGAAGAGCCACATGTGACTCGTGAGTTGCAGATTGGCCACCCCGTTCTAGAATCATAGAATCCCAGAGCTGGAAGAGACCTCAGGAGTCATCAAGTCCAGCCCCCTGCCCCAGGCAGGACCAACCCCAACTAAAGCAACCCAGCTAGGGCTTTGTCAAGCCGAGACTTAAAAACCTCTATGGATGGAGATTCCACCCCCTCCCTAGGGAACCCATCCCAGCGCTTCCCCACCCTCCTAGGGAAATAGTTTTTCCTAATGTCCAACCTAGACCTCCCCCACTGCAACTTGAGACCATTGCTCCTTGTTCTGCCATCCGTCACTACTGTGAACAGCCTCTCTCCATCCTCTCTGGAACCTCCCTTCAGGAAGTCGAAGGCTGCTATCAAATCCCCCCTTCAGAAACTGGACCTGTTACATGTCCCCTGCTGGACGTTTTCTTGTCATCTCTTGTTTCAACATGTGTTTTCCTGAGCTGTGTGCGCTTCATCTAGCACTGCTCAGTGTCCGGTTATAGACCTTGCCGTCCTCTGTCCAACAGTGTCCACAAGAAAAGGACTTTATTACAGAGGCTGGCATGAGAGCTTCCGACATTTATGCTTTTCCCCAGTAGGTGATAAGCTACAAGGTCTTGCATAGCTCCGCACGGCCACTCAAGGTGTGCTGTAAGGCTTCTGGGGCCGTGTCACAGCTGTTGTTGGAGTCTAGGATCCAATGGGTAAAATATGACATCACATATATCGAGGAGGGACCATCCGGCCAATTAGACCAGAGCAGGGTGGGGTAGCCGGTGGGACACTGCCAAAGTCATTTGCGATGGCATTGTGGGCATGCAAAGGGCAGAGCGGATCACACCATTTGCAGTCAGGTTAGTTCCTTTTGTAAAGAACCCCAGAGTTTGGGATCAGTGCGGAGTCGGGGCGCTACAATGCAGTGTCCTGTGTGTGCACACATCAAATAGAATTAATCTGGTTTCAGCTCCCCAAGCAGACAAGCCCTTAGGCTACCACTGACTTGAGTTTGGGGGAACCTCAGCTTCAAGCCCCAGCACATACTTGTCCCCCTCATAAAACAAGCCTGTGTGGAAAAAGAGGCGAGGGAAGAGCAGGGTGAGAGCAGGAAGGGAGGCAGGGCAGGAACCAGGTGTGTTGGCAGAGCTGTAGTGTGTGTGGGGAAGGGGGGTGTGAGGGTGGGGATGAGAATGGAGTAGCTGGGAAATGAGGGGTTGGAAGAGTTGGGGGGGGGAGAAGGAATTTAGGGCCAGAATAGCGGGGGATACTGTAGAGCCAGGGTGGGGAGCCTCAGGCCCGGGGGACGGATGTGGCCCTTGGCTTGCCTGGATCTGGCCCTGAGGCTCAGCCCCCTCCCCCCCCACACTGGCACTCCAGCCCCCTTGCTGCTCTGCTGTGAGACTGGAGCACCCAAAATCTACTAGGCTGGGCCCCCTTAGGCTCTGATGTGGGAGGAGAATGTGAGGAGAGTCTTGCTCCTTCTCAGTCGGGGGCCACAGTCGGGCTTCTCCCTTGTGAGGTCCACGACTGATTTTTCCGTGAGTCAGCAGCCCCCGACCCAGCAAAGGCCCCCCACCCCGCCTGTGGAGCTATGGGAGAGAACAGCAGAGGGCGGCAGCTCAGGGATGAGGTGGGTCGTGGGGGCCGCATGAGGCAAGCTCCCCCAGTCCAGCCAGTGTTCCCAGCCCCTCGTGCCCTGAATCCCAGGCCCCGCCTGAGTGTTGTGTTGGTCACGCA